GCCCAGGAGTTGGAGGTTGTTGTGAGCTGTGATGCCTTAGCACTCTACCCAGGGGGACAGCTTGAGGCTCTGTCTCAAAAAAAAAAAAAAAAAAAGAAAAAAAAAAGAGTCTATGTTTTAAAAAATTACAAAATATTTAAAAGGTCACTTTTAAATTATGCCATTGAAACATTACCACAGATTTCCACCTACTACATATACTCTGCGAGCATTCTTTTTGGATGCATTTTAGTAAAACAACGACTCAAACTTTCACAACTGATGATTTCTTTCAAAATTCCCCATTCTCTTGCCTCCTGATGTATTGATTCAGCCCTGGAAACTTTTATAAGTTCATTTGTGAAAGTGTGTGCCTGCCTCAAAGACTTTGTCATTAACTTTACCATAAAGAAAAGAATAAAATGGCTGTTTTTACTTCATGCCACTTTTGTGAAAAATTCAGCATCTAAACAGAAAAACAAAGGCTGCTCCACATTGAGACGATATTAGATTCAGCATTTATGTCTGCTTTCAAAAACCCAAGACATTTCTAAATTACAGTGAAAAATACTATGCAAGCCAAATCCAGATAGTTCCAAATGGATAGTGGAATTATCAGGTTTAAGGCCTTAAAATTAGGAATTGTTTCATTTTAGTCATTCACTGTGTAAAACTTTAGAAGGATAAGCTTCAATCATCCACTTCGCTGTAGATTCCCTGAAGGCAGCATTAAAGTAGTGCTTCTTTCTGCATCCTAGTGTGCAATTATTTTCAAACACATTACTTTTCTTTAGTTTTAATGGTGGATTTTTGTTAGCTATAATTTTCCAGCATTTATCAGTAAAATAAGTAATGTATAAATAATATGAAAAGAGGAATTGTATACAACCAACTTTTATCAGTTTTACCTGGAGATGATGATGTCATATGACATAGTTTACTAACCTAGGTACTACGGTATGTTCTTGTGTAAAACAATTGAATTGTCATCCAAGTAATTAACGAAAGAAATTAAATTTGCTTTGATGCTTGATATCAGCGTTTAGAACTTTTCTTTGGTTTGGAAAATCTAAGGATTTTTATCTTTTCCACTGCTTTTAAATGTAAAATCACAATTTCTTAAAATTATATTATGCTATAGTACTTGTATATGCATTTAGTTCAAATGAGATTTGTTTCAGATATTTTAAAATAGTCTGCTCACCTTAGCAAAAATAGATTAGTATTTTTGAGATTGAGAATACAGTTTTCTATTTTAGTAAAGCTGCTTTTAATATTAAATCCAGGAAGTATTATATTTACTGTATATACGCTTAATGATGAAAGTAAGCTGATTATGTGACCAAGAAAGGCCTTAAACCATCATCTGTGAAATAATACATCACTTGGTAAAATAAATTATTTGAAATGATTAGCGAGTCTTCCTTATGGGATAAAGAAGTATTAAGTACTATACTTAAGAGATAGCATAATACTTAAGTATTTAACTTAAGAGAAAGTAATAAAAATTAATAATATCCAACAAGAAATTTCATCCGATGAGTAAAGTATTGTAAGATACCAATTTAGCAAGAAAGGCAATTTCAGGAAAACCGGAAGTGATAAGAAAATGAAAGCATTTATCCAAAAAAATCAAATGAATTGCTTCAACACTATGGCCTCAGTTACATATTTAACAAAAAAATTTAGATCTTAATTATTTGTCTACTAGAAAATGAAATATTGTTAAACTAAATTCCTTTTCTGTTTAAAAAGGCATGTATGCCTTGGCTTGGTGGAACACACCTGTAATCCTAGCACTCTGGGAAGCAGAGGCGTAAGAATCACTGGAGCTCAGGTGTTCAAGACCAGCCTTAGCAAGACTGAGACCCTGTGTTTACTAACAAATAGAAAAATTAGCCTGGCACCGAGGCAGCACCTGTAGTCCCAGCTACTCAGAAAGCTGAGGCAAGAGGATACTTGAGCCCAGGAGTTTGAGGTTGCTGTGAGCTAGGCTGATGCTGTATCACTCTAGCCTTCAACAGAGGGAGAATCTGTCTCAAAAACATAAATAAATAAATAAATAAATAAGTAATTACTTGTGTAACACTTTTTTGCAATATTTCTTTTGTCTTACTGCTGCTATGACTGTTGGATATAGAAAGAACTATTCCTGTGTTCTCTAGGAAACATTCCTTACACAAGAAAACTTGAAACATACAAAAATATAAACTCAATTATATAGCTCAAGAAATGGCTCTGCAACCCTTTGCCAGTGTGTGAGCATTTAAATGTGTTCCCCATCAGTTCCAGTTTCTCATTCTTCAAGGCCCATAACAATTAGGGATGCCCTGATATTCACTGTCTCATATATTTCTTTTGCAAATTGTCTGAGGTAATTTTAAGCCAAAATTTAAGCCAGGCCCTGAATTCAATGCCATTGTCTTTCCAGGGTTCCCTAATGGCTTTTGTGTTTCTTTTTTTGCTTGTTTGTGTGTTCGTTTTTATTTTTCAGAAAGACCCAGTGAGCTCTCTAGAAAATTTAGAGGAAAAAAAGTTTCCTGGAGAGGCCTCCATACCAAGCCCCAAACCCAAGCTCCATGCAAGAGATCTCAAAAAGGAACTAATCACGTAAGTGGTACCTCCTGCTTTGCTGTGGAAAATTTTGGAATTAAGAGATTGAAGTTCTTGGATGGACAAGGTGGTTCATGCCTGTAATTCTAACGCTCTGGGAATCCAAGACAGGAGGAACTCCTCAGCTCAGAAGTTCAAGACCAGCCTGAGCAAAAGTGAGACCTCATCTCTTTTAAAAATAGAAAAACTAGCCACCTAGTCTGAAGCAGAAGGATCGGGTGAGCCCAGGAGTTTGAGTTTGCTGTGAACTAGGCTGATGCCAGGGCATTCTAGCCTGGCAACAGAGTCTCTGTCTCAAAAAAAAAAAAAAAGGAATCTCAAGTACAAAAAAAGAGAGAGAGAACTTGACCTTCTTAATTTGGGATAATAATTCTGGCTTTAGGTCAATTTCAACCAGTTAATAGTTAAATGTTAAACATGTACCCAACCCTATGGCCTGAACAAAGAGAGTTATGACTTATTCTTAGGCTGAGAGAACTAATAGACTCTTGATTAAAAACAAGATAAGCAATTAGAAATGCTTATATTTTGACCCAAAATTCTTAACCCGATGCCCATTGACCATGGTGGATCTCAGGCTTGGCTTCAGGAACCATCGTAACCTCATAACACTTTCTGCAGATTGTTATTTGGGTAAGGGAGTTAATGGTTTCATCATATTCTCAGAGGGGTTCTGTGACTCAGGAGAGTTTAAGGACCAGAGTACCTGAAGGCACTAAGTACTAATTATATATTAGTGAATGAGTGAACATGTGAAATGCAGGGAGACTGTTTTCCATATGTAAATGATTAAATATTAATCAAGCTTATTCATACAGACATTTAAAGCTGCCAGTTAATGAGAGTTTCCAGCAGAGAGTAACCCTTCTGTTTACATTTTTCTGATAAAACAATTTAACACCTCTCCTGACTGAGCTTCCACCTGAGCTCTGTCTCCCCTTCCTTTGACAGCTGAACTCCTCAAGAAAGTTGTCACTTCAGTGTGACTCAGTTTCCCTCCTAAATCTTTTCCAGACAGTCCTCTAGGGACCGTCCCTTTCCCCCTTGCTTCTCCCCACCTGGATCTGATCTGGGCTGTGGGTCCTTGATTCTCCTGTTACTTGAGTGGACGGCCACAGAACTGATCTTGCCTTCTCTGGGTCTCCTATGCTGGGCTCTAGGAACCTTGCCTCTGACTTCTCTCCCACCTGGTGGTTATCCTACCAGACTCAAGTACAGCTTTCTAAATGTTGGGGCATCTTAGACCTCAGTTCTGGGACCTGTCTGCCCTAACTTGTGCTGAAGACTCTGGGGCTGCCAGCCAGCTGTGCCCTCCAGCCCACAGTGGCAAAGCTCTCTGCCTCAACCTGTAGTCCCCTGACCCTGCCTCTCCACCAGCCACGCCTCTGGCCCCTCTGCAGGGCGCATCCTCTCCTCAGCTCTCTCCCAGAGGTCACTCGCTGCAGAGGCCTTGGAGCTACAGCTGTCCCTCACCTGAGTCCTGGTCTTTCCTTCTTCACCTCCACTCTCTGTGGTCCCCGAGAGCAGAGCCTCCCAGAGGCGTGCCCTCCCCCTCCCGTCCTCAACGACGCCCCCTCCTTTGCTGCACACTGTTTGCTGTGCTGACTCTTATTTTCCACCTACAGGGACAGTGACTTGGGAGCAGAGAACACATCTCGAATGCTGGTGCCAAGTGCCTTGTGCCTTGCAGATAGTAGGGGTTCAATAAAAATTATTTCAAGTCCAGTTTGCACTAGGAATGTGTGAGGAGCTTTAAAGCAGGCTTTGACTTTGCATTCTCTGAGGAGCTCACAGGTAACACTGGCCCTAGCAGTGTGCACCCTAAAAAGTGTCATGTATAATGGATGGTTCAAAAGGAATTGAACTTAAATTTTGCCAAACCCAGCCTCTTCCCAAGAGGCCACTTAGGGCTCCCATACACTTATCCCTACGGGGAGGCACTTTTCATTTTTTTTTTTACAAATTTCCTTTCCACATGCTATGCTTAATTTTTTCAAAACTGGAAAATTGTCCTCTGAAAGTAGATTGTCAGAAATTGTGAAAAATCATCCCAAAGTAAACGTAATATAAAAGATTCGTAATTAATATGCAACACCATTTGGGGTCAGAAAAATGAAGTGTGATTATTTTGCAAAGGGGACTTCTTTTCATATGAAGGTAAATATAAAAAAGGAAGGGTTTCAAAAAGACTGAAGGATTTGGGGAATATAATCATGAATTCCTAGGAAGCTGCTGTCTCAGAGACCTCACATGCACCATTTTATAGACAGGGCGAGTACATTAATGGATATCGCTTATTATGTGTGGATGTGTTAGTATATTTATTTTGTAAAAGTCTCACTACTTTATGTCACCCTGTCCTTACTGTGTTTTTAACAGATAATCATGCTTTAATTGGCTAGCAAAATCTTTGTTCAAAATAGATTTTTTTTTTGGCCACTGATTATCCTAGAACTTGCTTGGGGATTGAGTCCCACTTACTGAGAGAATCTGCTAGTTTTCTTCCTGTAATTATATTAGTTTCATCTACAAACCTTCCCTGAGTATATCACCCAACTGATACTGGCACATGTCATTAGATAAGATTTTTCACTGTAGACTAGGAATTAAATCTAGTTATTAGAATTCGGAGCAGAAACTTTTCCCACTACTAAGCTGCCTCCAATTCTTTGTTGACCTTTTTATATCACTAAACTTTAAGTTTTTTCTCCTAATTAATGTCTATTTCATCATCATATTTCACAGGTAATTTATAGCTGAGTTTAAAAATCCTTGGCACCTCTTTTGCCTCTCCTGGTAATATTAATGGGAGTCATTTAAAAATAGAATAAAATAAAATAAATGCAATGCTGTTTTGGAACACGAGGTGGCGGTGTATTTCTAGAGTGGGAATTCCCCGGCCGTTGAAACACCTTTCTCATCCTCTAAATATCCCTGTTGCGCTATGTTCAGAAAAGATTTTTCTGCATTTAGTGAGTGGATAGCACTTGCAAGATAACTCAGCTCACACATTAATCATTGTTAATTTTTCTTTACTTTTTTACAAATGCCATAGCTAGTTTTCTTTCTGATATCTATCTAGGAAGAAGGACGAGAGAAGAGCTAGATGATGATGCAGTTTGGATCAAGCCCTGATCTAAACATAGAGACATGAAAATGTTCTAACTCTTATTGTTTCTTTACATTACCTGAGAATAAGTTCGATCCCCAAACTTCCCTTCAAAAGGGTAAATTCTGTGAGAGATATATATATTCCCTCACTTCAGACAGGATGCCAAAAAAAGTCAGATGTACAAATGACATACCTAATTTTTAACATCCCCATAAACAGAGTTGGGTGGGCTGGGGTTGATCTACCTACTCCACATGAGTGACTTTCAAAAAACATCAGAGGATATTAAGTCACTGAGAAGCCAAGAAATGCATTAGTTACAGAAGAAAAGCTGCTAAGAATATTTCCTTTCTTACATTATGTTCAAAACACATTAGATGCACAGGACACAAGCAGGTTCTGAGACTAAACGAAGTTCAGGGACACAGATCTTGGTGGAGCCGGTGTCCTGACCATGCCTGAGAGCACATTCTCAGGCTAATGGTGAATTAGTAGTTGTCTTTGTTGGGTTCAAGCTTTGGCTGAAATTACTCAGCTTTGCTCACTAAACATCTTGGCTACTTCCTACTGTCAGCAGCTTTCCCACCTAACCTACCAGTCTACATCTCAGTCAGAGATTTTCAGTGGTTTCCAAATGTTTATGAAGGTACTAGGTTGCCTTGCTTGTTAAATCTCATACAACCTCCTTTCCAGAATCTGTCCCATAATTGGTGCCAGTATTCCTAAGATCTAGTATTGTAAAGCAGGGGTTTATAATATTTATTTTTGATGGTGTATATACATTCAAAGGAATAAACACCCCAGATTACTGACTCACAATATTGCTAGGATGTACCTTTTAATATCACTTTCCTGTCTAATTTGAATCAGGGATTTGGATATGATGTTGAAACAGATAACTAAGGAAGTACTACTCATCATGTTATGATTTTTAGTTTTCTTTTAGGTAGCCTGCTGGTTCTTACATAGCACAAATCTTTAGCACACCAGCTAACGCATCTTGCACAGAGAAAATGCCTCACAACGTATCAGGCAGAGCAAATGAATCCAGGAAATGTGCTTGACTCTAATGATGTCATTTTTCGTTGACTCAGCTGCCCAACACCAGGCTGTGATGGAAGTGGCCACGTAACAGGAAACTACGCGTCTCATCGCAGGTACCTAGCATCCCCCGCTGCAGTCGGATCATTTTGTTCTACTTTCAATGTTATTCTCACCCATTTAAGCAAAATAATATCTAGATCAGGAAAAAGAGAGCGAGTTAGTGCGTTTTTGGTTTATGTTGTGGAAGTAAAGATATGTGGTGTAGAAATCATGATTCTTGGTCAAAACAGTTTTCTGATCCTGTAGTCCAGGTCACAGACCACAAGTTAGGGTTCACATGAGCTTTTGATTCTGCCTGGCTTTAGGACTCGTGTGGAACAAGGCAAACACAACAGAGTGACTGAAGTGGCCCTTTACTCTGGGTGAATACACCAGGGAGTTACAGAGTTTAAATGGTGTGCAAGGGCTGTTTTCAATCTTTCCATTTACCTTCTTTGCTCATAAGATGTGTTTTCTCTTTGGAGAAGCATCATCAGGAGGTGCTGTAACAAGAAGAACTTGATCAGTAGTCACTGCACCACTGAACTCTAGCTGTGGGGAGTCTCATTGGGTTAAAGCCCTTCATCCAATAAATAGCAAATCCGTGTCTAAGAGAAAGAACTGAGGTGCCCGAAAGCCTACGCTGGTTAGAGTAGCACAGCTAGATTCCAAGCCAGTTATAATTTTCCCAGTCCTCCGTGATTTAACATACGTTCCCTGCCCAGGACGCTCTTTGAGTCAGATTTGTCAGTGTCTTGTTTTGTTTTGTTTTTTCTCATCCCTCCTTAGTGTTTCTGGATGTCCATTAGCAGATAAGACTCTTAAATCCCTCATGGCTGCGAACTCTCAGGAGCTGAAGTAAGTGATGGGCAGTGTGACTTCCTTGCCCTTTGCCTGACGGGGAGGGACCCTCAGTGTGGCCAACAACCAGTTTTACATCTTGCCTAACTGAGTTAGAGCACCAAAAAATCAGCACGGCTACAACCAAATCACTGGGATTTAATTTCATTTGCTTGCTTCAGGAGCCTTATAATAATTTTTAAAGGAATGATGTCATGGTAAAACAGAATACTTTTTTCTGTTAATTTTAGATTTATTTACTAAATTAGTCTTGTGGCAAAGTGTTTGCATCATCTAATTTTAAGAAAATTGCATGACATATTACCTTCTGGGTATTTTGACTCATACAACTGCCTTTCACTGTTGGATGCCAAACATAATTTTGGCTCATTTCTACCAAGTCTATAAGCTCTCAAGGTCACATGTATATTAACTTTTACTTAGAGATTTTCTTTTTCCTACTCTTACCTTTTTTTAATACAAATTTCTCACTTGTTTACTTTCACATCTCGTTAAATTACATATAGAATAATAAAAAATTATAAGAAGATAGATGATAGGGCAAAAATTTCAAAGGGTAAAGAAATAGCATTTAACAAATCTAATTAAATTTATTTGCAAACAGTAATGTTTTAGGGAAAAAGTGTTACTATGTCTAGAGGTAAAATAATATTTGTATGAAAATAGTAGAATCAACTTTTAGTGTCTAAAATACATGTCACATTTCAGGTACCATATTTTTCTTAATTTTTAAATAGTATTTTTCTCTTCTAAGTTGTTTAAAAATGGAGTTTTAGTAGCAGAAATAGTAAAAGGAACTATGAAAAATATAACTTTCCTCATTTTTAAAGTGTAAAATACAATTTATTATGTCAACATACAGTCTAGATATAATCTATTGACTGCCATTTTCTGGACTAAAATATGAGAATGCCTAGAAGAGACTAGTAATTAACAGATTGAAAAGCGAGATGTGCCAGAATATGTTACTCAAGTCCTTCAAACTTCTACATTACCACAAGTTAATTATAGTTATTGGTTCTCTTAACTATTGTCATCAAACCTTACTTCTAGAAAAATATTGGTTAATATATTAAACACACATAAATTGAGAGATCCTATAGCAATATTAAATATTTATGTGTTTTACACAGCCATCTACTAAGTAATACCTTTTGTTTTTCCATAAAAGAAAAAAAAGACATTTCATTGATAACTTGTATAGATCAGTATTCGAGGAGAATCCCCAAAGAAGGTTCTCTGGTACTTGTGTTTCCATAACTGCAATTAAACCACTATGTTATTAGTCCTTAAATGGGTCAAGAGTCAAAGCAAGTCCCACCAGCTAGCTGGAAGACATGTGTACTGATTTCATATTTTCTGCCTTAGGATGAGTTATAAAAAGCATTCTGTAAAAATTCAGTAGGGTGGGATTTAAGGAAAGGTGTGGTATTCACATTTTTCTTTGGATTCTTGTTCTTCTCAAATGGAACTTTTATTTGAAGAGACATCTGAACCGTAATGGGCGTAGATGTGAAAAGATAAGTGAAGATGATGTCCACAAGAATCTTCAGAACAGCAAATACTTTGATAGACTCTCTGTTTTTATTTGTACTTAGGATTTTTTTAAAAAGCAGCAAAAAGGTGAAAATGTTTGTATATAAGGGTATTCTGAAACCTATTTTTAATCAGCATTCCAAGTAGAAGTTCAAATCTCTTTCCTCTCTCACCCTTCTCATTCCAAATTTAATGATTTTCGGTGATAGTTATTGGAAGTTTTTTTCCCAAAACCAAAATAGGTGCAAATTATTTCAATTCTTTGGTCATCACATTAATGCTTCCCATCTCTGGAGTTCACATACACCACTGCTGTTTATCTGAATTAATGAATTATCATGGTACTACAGCATATCTGAAAATAAATAATTCATTAAAAAATGGAAAACTTTTCTCTTTACATGAAAGATGAGAACTTTGCAGTTCTTAGATACTTAGAGTTCTAGATAGAAGCCCAAAAGTAAGTTGTGAGCTGACTTTCAAATTCCTTCCAATTTAAGGCTTGAAAATAGAGAAATGAAAATACGATAAATAACAACCCACACTTTGGGAGTGCCAGTGGCACTGGGAGCATTGGTTAGCGCATGGTACTTATACAACAACTAATACTCTGTTTACCAAACATTACTCAGTAGCTATACATACTAAATTTTTTTGAATAGATTATTAAGTAAAAGATAATTATATTTAAGACAAAAATTGCACAACGAAGCAATTCATTCTTTTTAGATCTATTTAAATGTCCCTTCCCCCCTCGACGGCCTATCAGTGTGGGCCCATTCTCTCTTCTGCACTCCAGGTGTCCAACCCCAGGCTGTGATGGTTCCGGCCATGTGACTGGAAACTACGCTTCTCACAGAAGGTAGGATGATCCGCTTCCTGAGACGTGGAAATCAGCTTGTCCACAGTGGTAGTCAGAGAGATCACATGATTTTGTTTTGTTCTCTGTTGGGTACACGCTATAGCTTGTCTGGCTGCCCTCGTGCAAGGAAAGGTGGTGTCAAAATGACCCCAACCAAGGAAGAAAAAGAGGACCCTGAACTTAAGTAAGTGCAACAGCTGTGGTGTCGGGGTGAGCTGCAGAGCTGGTCAGATGGGCGGATCTCGGTTAGCACAGAGTCAAGGGTGGACTGAGTTCAGGGAAGGTGTGCCCTCTTAGACCCAAAGACTCTTGAAGCAAGAGTCAGATTGTTTGGAGTATTGAGAGAATTTTCCTCTTCAGAGCTACGTTTCCATAGCTCTTGGATAACGCAAAAAAAAAAGGAGAAGATTTGTAATTTTTTCATTTGTTGTAAAGGAAAGTAGCATGTGGAAATGCTACAGAATGACAGATACAGAAGCATTTTCCCCTGAAACTTTCAAATTTGCCTAAGGTGAAATTGTATCTAAACTGAATTCCCTCCTCTAAGAAAAAGGCGATCACATCTTGGGTGATATATGAACATATTGGATGTAGAAATTTAAATTGTTCTCTCTATATTATTTCTAAACACAATACTTGAACATTTAGCAAACAAAATTCCAGTTCTGTGAATAACGTGTGATGCATCTTTGGTCAAGGCAGTTAACATTTACACCCGAGGTCTTTGTTGAGACAAAATGTAAGAGTGCTTATGTGCCGTCTCCAGAGCTAAAAAGTGTGGCACGAACTGGGCTCCTCTTCCTTTAAAATGGTTAGTACATTACCAAAGCTCTATAAGCCTTGTCCCCACCCCTCTAAAACGGGGTAATAACTCTCCCCACTCAGTAGATTGCAGTGAATGTTAAGTGAAATAAAGTATGAAAACTACTTAGAGCAGAGCCTTCCAGGGATGTCCAACCTTTCGTCTGCTCTGTGCCACATTGGAAGAAGATGAGTTGTCTTGGGCCACACATTAAATATACAAACACTAACAAAAGCTGAGGAGCCAGAAAAAAGGTCCATGCACACTTCTCTTGACATCCAGTACCACAGATAAACAAATAAAGTCCTCATATACTCTGTATGTGGTCTGGGGGCCACGGGTTGGACACCCCTGCCTGTGCAATGCTGTGTTGCTAGCAATGGTGCCATCTTTTAAAATTATAATATCATGGCTCTTCCTCTGGATAGTCTGGAACTGACACTGCCTTCTTCCCAGCTGGCAATGTCTCTGCTATGTCTCTCTAGATGTCCTGTGATAGGATGTGATGGACAAGGTCACGTGTCAGGTAAATACACATCACACAGGACGGCTTCTGGCTGTCCCCTGGCTGCCAAGAGACAGAAGGAGAATCCTCTCAATGGGGCCTCCCTCTCCTGGAAACTGAACAAACAAGAACTGCCGCACTGTCCCCTGCCAGGCTGCAATGGGCTGGGCCACGTCAACAATGTGTTTGTCACCCACAGAAGGTAATCTTCATTTTCTGTCCTTTGGTGGTGGTGGTGGTGTCCTAAAGGTCATGAATTATAGCACTTGAGACATTGTAACAGTGAGTCTTGCTGAGGAGATATCTGACTAGCCTGAAGAATGACAAATGCTATTTTCTCTATTTCTGAAAATTCACTACAAAGTTTTCGAGTGCTGTAGAAAGCGTGCATTTGGCTTTTGTATTCTAAAATATTGCTTATGCTGCTGTTAGTTCCGAGTGGCGATGTCTACTCTGTGATGTAATTGCAAACTTTAGCTTTACATGTTTAGATCATTCCCTCCCTCTTACGCAGTGGCTCAATTTCAGACCAGAATTGTATGTATTCTGCTACTGGGCAGATGTGTGACTTATCCACAGTAGCCAGAAAGATGCCGGCGTCACTGCCCAGTGTCCGCAGGGAGAAGGGAGATCTAGAAAACTCTTTCACAGTTTCACAAGGACTTACTTCTTCCTTTCTCAGTGAGTGTCGTGCATTTCAACCAGGCCTTTTGTTGAAACCCCACATTTTTGGTTCATGTTCTACATAAAGGAAAAGAGTCAAAGATTGACTATTTCTCCCATCAGTGGGTCCCTTTCTGGTTTCACAGGTCACTGTGTGTGACACTAATTTGAAACCCAGTGAAGCTTTAGGAAACCCTGATGCTCTGCTTATGAGGAATTACACACTGAACAAAGCTGGGGCATTTGGACATTTTGCTCAGTTCTAAAGATCTCTATTAACCGTGTCGGAAAATGAAGCTTTCTGGGAATTGCCGATTTAGAGGTAGATGCAGTGAAACTTGCTTATGGAGAAAACTTGAATTTTTTTAAGGGGTTTATTGTTTTGATGGTTTTCAAAGGCAGGTCAGTGTCCACAATAGCAAACATTGTTTCATTCTGAGTTTGAATCATGATTTCATGTCCAAGACCAGCAGTCACCAGTCAAGTCAGCCTAATGGCGTGTTCACTGCACAGAGCCCTGAAGTTCTTGGGACGACCTCAGTATTTCTGTGTGGACACTGCTGATGAAATGTTAATGCTCTGTGTTATGTGCTCTGAGGGGTCTCTTGGCTGTAATGGAATTTTCTTTTGAAAGTACTAAGAAGTTTTAAAAGACAATGCCAGGGCTTGGTGAGGCTGTGGAGCACTGGGAACTCCCACACACTGTAGGTGGGAGTCACTGGTGGTGCCACTTTAGGAAGCAAATTGCCTTCAAAGAGTTAATTTGAAAGCGAACTCTCAAAGGTGCCCTAGCACCCGGGCTTACACCCCAGGGGCTGCTTTGCACATTGGAACCCAGAGACCTGTCTGAGCTTACTCCAAACTGGGAGAAGCCCTCCTGCCCACCAGCAGCCAGAAGGGTGAATAAGCAGTGGTGTCCACACCCATGGCCACCAGGCAGTGCCACCCAGATGAACTTTAGAGCATGATGCTGGGCAGGAAAATTGCTGAAGAATAGTGCAGTATGTTCTGTTCATGGAAAGTAAAAGACGTGGACAAAATTACATTTGGAAAAGCGGGGTGACAATTAGCTATAGTTTGAGATACTGGTTATTTCTCTGGGACAGAGAAGCCAGTTGTTGAGGGGCCTGTGAGCACCTCAGAGGGCCTAGAAAGGCATGCTCTGTGCTGTAAGGTAAATGGTTTTCCACTTAACTGTGTTCTTTACACTGCGATTATACATTGTATGTGTCTGTTGACATATTATGAATTTCATAATAAGAAAAAGAAAATTACGAGTTCAAAAATACATGCTGCAATATTAATGCCAAGATATTACTGTCTGAGAGTTAAGACAAAGGGGTGATTTGGGTCGCAGCACTCTTCACTCGAAATTTCTCTTCCTACTGAAAAGATTTAAGAGACTAGATTGAATTCGGAGTAGTCTCTTTAAATGGAATACTATTTCTATGTTTATGGAGAATTTCTTGAAATGATGTCAATGACACCTGGTTTGTGCCTGGAACATAGTAGGTGTTAAATATGGGTGATTTCCCTCCCCTTTATGAAAATAGTATATCCATCCAATAGGCTCTTAAATGTTTCGTATTTTGAACCTAAAATTGTGTGGTACCCTTTCAAATCACTTGATCCCTAATAATAGTTAACATATATGCGGGGTCTCTCCCACAGAGAGTGCTGCTCTGGGTGACGTATGTGGTTTCCTCCTTAAACCTTTACAGAGCTCTGCGGGCTACACGGGAATCAGGATTATGCCCAGGTGACAGAGAGGAAGCAAGCGCAGAGGCTCCTGAGCATCCTGCACACTGCAGGTGCCACGGGTCCAGCCGTGTGCCTGCACCCTGCTGGGGGTGCCTCAGGGATCAGAGCATACAATTTCTCAGACAAAATGGCATAGTTACAAAACTTACTTTATAGAATGATTAAGAACAATTTGACCTATGCTCTGTATAAGTATTATATTTATATAATAATTCCTTTCTAACCTTGCTTTAAATCCTTAAAGCACTGGTGGTGCCACTTTAGGAAGCAAATTGCCTTCCAAGAGTCAAATTGAAAGTGAGCTCTGGAAGGTGCCCTGGCATCCAGGCTTACACCCCCAGGGCTATTTTGACAAAATTTCCCCTTTGAAAAAAATAACAACCTGAGAAGACAGGCGATATATTAAAACGCACACACCATTATGGATACTTGTAGCTTTAAAACCAGAAGTTCTGGCCGGGAACAGCGTTTCATGCCTATCATCCCAGAACTCTGGGAGGCCGAGGTGGGAGGGTCACTTGAGTCCAGGAGTTCGAGGTTGTTGTGAGCTAAGCTGATGCCACGGCACTCTAGCCTGGGCAACAGAGTGAGACCCTGCCCCTCAAAAGAAAACACACACACACACACACACAAGCAACCACCGTTGACTAATAGAACATTTAATGCTATATCATATCTTTGCAATTTTATTGAAGTTTATTAATACATGGTAAGCAATGATGTTCACTACATAAATTGTATAACCTGCCATTTACTCTGGGGAAGGCAGATGAAGATACAGTTTTCAGTTGCCTTAATAGAGTTGCAATTTTGGCCAAAACCATATAAGGTACATTTTTGCCCTGCCTGTACAGTATGGGGCCTCAAAAGTAAAAAGGACTTTTAAAATATTTGTCCTGCCCCTCATTTTTTAAATTAAGGTTTGTTTTATATCCTGGAAGATACGAAATATCAACACAGGAAGATACAAAACATCAAGTGGCATTTTTGGAACCAAAGCTTCACTGTCATAATTGCACTGTGTTCCTTGGTTCTCAGTCCTGTGATTGTGGCTGAAAGCTTCATTAGCTTTTTTACAACAACACTGTGTCACCCTGAAAATGTTCTACCGTGTTGTCTGAGCAAAGTAAATCCGTTAGGGGTGAGGGTCAGAGAACTTTAATGAGGTACTAATGTCCATTATGTTACAGATAGACTTACTCACCAGTCATCTTTAAATATCCAATTTCCCGACTGAATATTCATGGTCATTTTCTAAGAATACGATATGTGCCATAAGACAAAATGGACGTGTGCAAATTCTCCATAAACAAAAAAGATTATGACACGTATATAGGCTATAATTTACAGCGAGAAGCTTCCTGAAATAGTAGAAGACTTAGGTTGTACATTGAGTTTGTGCTTTTATTGTTTTCTTTTTCTGTATAAAATAATTTATAGATTACTAAATTTAGGTAAACTGCATAACCTTCTTTCTATAAATATTACATATTTATTATTTTTTCATAGACTTTTCTGTGGAATACTTGTCTTAAAAAATGCAATAATGTAGCACACATTTAGTAAGGGCATTACTAAATTCTTGAGGAATATTTTCTTTTACTTTGCCAGTGTCTCCAACTTCAGGTTGAAATAATTGTCTTACAGATGAATTGTAACTAAATTTCTTGGCTAAAAAATATTCAAGTGGTTGATTTGTGATAATCTTTATTTTGATCTAAAACTTATTTCTACAAAAATACAATTAAATTGCCAAGGAATTAATGGGTTCTTAGAACAACAAAATTACCTGATCATAAATGATGAGAAACAAGTTTTATTCAATGTTGGCATTAGCACACTGATGCAATTTAAATAAAACATATGACATTAAAGGACAGAAACCCCGCTGAAGAGTGCAACTATTAAGTGAAAAGGGTTCTAAATACCGTGATGGTTTAATAGGCTGTCTTGGCAATAATCATCTTAGTATACTTATAAAGGAACATTTTATTCCCCTTTTGGGGTAGATACATTTTAAGTAAAAAATAAAGTTTGACAAGTTAAAGGAAAAATTAAGAAGTTTCCCGTAACCAAACTGAATTTCTGTAGGGCATGTGGTGATGGGTTATTTTTGGTTTGTATTAATTTGCATCATTCTATAAAGATCATAACGACAGAAAGGACTAGATTCTGCTTTATTATGCATGGAATTTTGGCTAATTGGGAATAATTCTTATTCATAATATAAATGCACAACTTCATGTTTACAGAAAATAAAGTAACCACTACTAAACAAATGCACTTATATGATGCAGAAAAATAGCATTTTTACAAAACGAATTAACTCACGATTGTGCGTCAGCAGTAACAATGGCAATGATCATTGGAATATACTTATAGAGCAACTTTCATTTGTCCTTTGATTTCGGAAAACACACAAAAAATTTAATATCATTTGCAGGCCTTTTGCCTTTGCTCTAGTTTAATAGATATTTATTTGCTACTATCTACAAAGAGGCTGTCAGTTACAATGTAATTAGGCAAAAACACAAATCACAGGTAGTGAATGTTTTAAGTTTAATAAGAAATAATATACATTTTACACATCAGTATCCTTTCTGTTTTTGCAGCTTATCTGGATGTCCTCTCAATGCCCAAGCTATCAAAAAGGGGAAGGTCTCCGAGGAATTAATGACCATCAAGCTCAAAGCCACTGGAGGTAAGAACATGGAGCTGCTGTCACCACAGGGCCTGGACTGCAGCTCAGGAACGGGCTTTGTGTGTCAGAGTAGGCTCTACCAGGGAAGTGTCATTGTGTCATTGTCATGCACGAGTAGAAGCTTTCCTCAGATAAGAACAAAAACTATACCTTTAAAAAAATAATTTCAGCCAGGTGCAGTGGCTCACACCTATAATCCTGCACTCTGGGAGGCTGAAGTGGATGGATCACTTGAGCTCAGGAGTTTGAAATGAGCCTGAATAAGAGCAAGACCCCATCTCTACCAAAAACAGAAAAACTAGCCAGCATGTGGCAAGAGCCTGTAGTCCCAGTTACACAGGAGGCTGAGGCAAGAGGATCACTTGAGCCCAAGAGTTTGAGGTTGCTATGAGTTATGATGCCATGGCACTCTACCCAGGGTGACAGAGTGAGACTGTCTAAAAAAAAAAAAAAAAGAAAGAAAGAAAAGAAAAGATAAACTAGAAATAAAGAATTTATTGGTTTCGTTCTTATTTTCTAATAAGGATCTTCAACAGAAAAGTCAGGCAATGTTGTGCAATAGAGCAAGACACAGTCGTACAAATGTGTTCTTTAGTCTTGTGTGTGGTTTCACATGTGTGCGTGATGTCACTTGTGTGATGTCACATGTGTTCTCACATATGTGTGATGTCACATGTGTGATGCCACGTGTGTTCTCATGTGTGTTATCTCACATGTTTGTATTCTCACATGTGTGTGACCTTGCATGTGTGTTCTCACATGTGTGTGTGATCTCATGTGTGTGTGTATGTGTATGTGTTTTCCTGGTATAAGAACCTTATGAAACTTTAGCAAACACAATTCCCAGCACTTGCATTTGAATTCTTTAACTTTGTTTTCTGTGCACAAAATAAACTATTCCACAGTAATTCCAGGTGATTGCGTTTAGCATCTGGCTCTCTGCCTGTGTCTGTATCTCCTTGCTCATTTCCTTAGCGCCCATCCCTTCTCGAAGTTGACACATGTAGTGTCTGAGTTCTATTTACATTTGTCTCCTCCAAGTTTTCTTTGATTCTTGAGCATTTTTTCCTGAGATTTGTAATCCACACTATCTGGGGCCTGTGCTGTTTTCTATCAAAGGTCTTTTTTATTTATTTTTTTTATTTTTTATTGTTGGGGATTCATTGAGGGTACATAGAAGCAGGGTACATTAATTGCTTTTGTTAGATAAGGAACCTCTTATATTTGTGTCCTGCCCCCAAAAGTCGAACCCGATCCCTTGACCTCCCACCCCCTCCCTCCTTCCCTTTCTCAGTTCTTCCCATCCCCCACCCCCCACTCTAGGACCTCGACTGTCCTCATATCAGAATTGAGTACACAGGGTTCTTATTTCTCCATTCTTGTGATGCTTTACTAAGAATAATGTGTTCTACATCCATCTAGGTTAATAAAAAGGATATGAAGTCTCTGTCTTTTTTGGTGGCTGAGTACTATTCCATGATATACATATACCACAGCTTGTTAATTCATTCTTGAGTTGGTGGGCATTTAGGCTGTTTCCACATTTTGGTGATTTTAAATTGAACTGCAATAATACAAGTGTCCTTGTGACTCAAGGATTTTTTTTCCTTCTGGATAGATGCCCAGCAATGGGATTGCACAATCAAATGGGAGATCTACCTTGAGTTCTTTGAGGATTCTCCACAATGCCTTCCAAAAGGTTGTATTAGTTTGCAGTTCCACCAGCAGTGTAAAAGTGTTCCCTTCTCTCCACCTCCATGCCAGCATCTGTAGTTTTGAGACTTTGTGATGAGGGCCGATCTCACTGGGGTTAGATGATATCTCAGGGTGGTTTTGATTTGCATTTCTCTAATTATTAGGGATGAGGAGCATTTTTTCATATGTTTATAAGCCATTCATCTGTCTTCTTTAGAGATGGTTCTATCATCTCTCTTGCCCAGTGATCTAAGGGATTGTTGGCTTTTTAAATGTTTATTAATTTGAGTTCTCTGTAGATCCTAGTTATCAAGCTTTTGTCTGAATCAAAATATGCAAACATCCTTTCCCAATGTGTCTGTTTGCTTTGGTTGTAGTTGCCTTAGTTGTACAGAAGCTTTGCAGCTTCATTAAGTCCCATTTGTTTATTTTTGTTGTTGCAATTGCCCTGGGAGTCTTCTTCATAAAGTCCTTCCCCAGGCCTATAGCTTCCAGTGTTTTTCCCACACTTTCTTTGAGGATTTTAATTGTTTCATGTCTTAAATGTAAGTACTTTATCCATCTTGAGTTAATTTTTGTGAGTGGAGAAAGGTGAGGGTCCAGCTTCAGTCTTTTACATGTGGATATCCAGTTCTCCCAGCACCATTTATTGAATAAGGGTTCTTTCCCCTGATGTATGTTCTTGTTTGGTTTATCAAAGATTAGGTGACTATAGGATGTTTGATTCATCCTGGTTTTCTATTTGATTCCAAATGTCTATGTCTCTATTTTTGTGCCAATACCATGCTGTTTTGATCACTATGACCTTGTAGTACAGCCTAAAGTCTGGTAGGCTGATACCCTGGCTTTGTTTTTAATGTTAAGAATTGCCTTGGATATACAGAGTTTTTTGGTTCCATACAAAATGAAGAATTATTTTTTCCAAGTTTTGAAAGTATGATGTTGGTATTTTAATAGGGATGGCATTGACTCTGTAGATTGCTTTGGGAAGTACAGACATCTTTTTCAATGTTGATTCTTCCCAGCCATGAGCGTGGTCTATTCTTCCATTTGTTGTTCTCTTCTACTATTTGTTTCTTAGGGGTTCACAGTTTTCTTTGTAAAGGTCCTTCACCTCTTTTGTGAGGTGTATTCCTAGGTATTTCATTTTCTTTGGAGATACTGAGAAGGGTATGGTGTCCTTGATTTCCTTCTCATCTTGGCTGCTATTGGCATATACAAAGGCTAATGATTTGTGGACATTAATTTTATATCCTCAGACATTACTGTATTTTTTGATCACTTCTAGGAGCCTTGTGGTTGAGTCTTTGGGGTTCTCTAAGTATAAAATCATATCATCAGCGAAGAGAGAGAGTTTCACTTCCTCTGCCCCCATTTGGATGCCTTTAATTTCCGCCAAAAGTCTTTCTAAAGCATCTGAGAAACAATGGCAGCACAATTATTTTGCTTCAGAGACTTTATTTGATTGTGTCTTTGGCACGTGACTAGAATAAAGCTAGTCTTTTTTGTTTGTTTGGTTGGGGTTTTTTTTGCAGTTTTTGGCCAGGGCTGGATTTGAACTCACCATCTCCAACATATGGGACTGGTGCCCTACTCCTTTGAGCAAATGGTGCCGCCCCCATTTTTTAGAAACCAAAGAAAAAGATAGAATCACTATGGAAATCACACTGTAGTAGGAGCAAAACTCTTTTTTTTTTTGGGCGGGGCTGGGTTTGAATCCACCACCTCTGGCTTATGGGGCCGGTGCCATACCCTTTTGAGCTACAGGCACTGCCTGGAGCAAAACTTTGTTGAACCAAGTACACAAGGAAAGCATTGTATAGGAGTCTTAATTACAAGAATACTGATAACACCTGTCCTCTAAATACAGTTTAAATCACAGGGCTGCTCCTAATAAAGATGAAAAAAAAAAACAGGGAGCCAGTGGCATTGCATCAAATTACGATGGGGCTTTACAGGGGCCAGAGCTGAGACCCAGGCACACACGGTGCTTCTCTGTCTGAGCCCACAAAGACTTTCACAGTAAGTGGGAGCAGCTGACTGAGCTCATGTCCTTCAAAGGGTCCTTCTCAATCTAGCATCATCAGCTGAGCTTTCAAAGGATGGAGCAGCATCAGGATGGGCTGGATGCATTAAATGCCAGGTGCAGTCATTTTCCAGGTAACTGGAAAGGTACATGTTTTACGATCCAAGAAGATAGGGACTGATGCTCTGGGAAGCCTAAGAGCCTACAAGGAATTTGCATGAGAAAGAAATGCAGGTGCAGGTCTGTGGTCCACTGAGGGTCAAAAAGGACCTACGGTGATTTGGGATCTAGCAGCGCTCCATCCATGGTCCCGTCTTTAAGCCTGGCCACAATCACTGTTCCTCAGATGATCTTGAAAGCAGATGTAAACCCAGTGCTCCCTAAACTGTAAAAAAAAGTCTAAAAATCAGATAGCGATAAAATATAAATACAAAATATATAAAATAAAACTTGTGTACAACTTTAACCTCAGCATACTAAGTTAATTTAAATTAAGTACAAGTCACTCGTGTCATTAATTGAACTAGGTAATGTCTTAGATGATCTACCAGTTCAAACATGGAAGGCCTATGCCAAAAAGTGTTTACATTTGGAAGAATTGATCTTCACTTCCCTACCCTTGCCATAGCTAAATAACCACACTAATTTTTTAGCCCATTTTATCCCCTAAATAAAAAAGAAATAAAATTTTAATTTGTAAACCTAATATAAAAATCAATGTTCACTCAAGAAATATAACTAGAATTTGTTTAAAATAGAATGGCTTCACATGTATAACATGAAAAATGTAAGTACAGTAGGTAACAGCCTTTATAAGTTAGGAACCCCTTCTATCTACATGTATATACGTAACTTGCATAATTATACATAGTACAAAGAAAATATTATAAATTATGTAATTTTAATTATGCAAATTAGGCACACATTACTACCAACTAAACACTAAAATTATTGAATGAGAGCATATTCTGTTACTTTTAGGTAGATGGACTCCACAAAGAAACAGGTTTTTAGTGAAATATTTAGTGAAAAGATTCTTTTCCTTGATATAATTTCCTTGATTGGCCACAACAACTAGCCAGTCTAACATTCTAGTAGAGCCTGTCTACTGATACTTCTAAAACAGATTAAATATCTGTGAATAAAGATAACAGAATGATGATTAAACAGCCATATTCTGGAATGAGAGAGTAGCTTGCGTTTGAATCACAGCCATTCTGCTTACTTTTTCCTTGGTTTTCCCATTCATAAATTAAGCTAATAAGGGTTCTAACTCATGGTTTTCTTAAGAAGATCAAATGAGTTAATATTTGGAAGTGCACAGGCTGGGATGTCTTTATTAACATTGGGAAA